TCAGCAGTGGGGAACTGTTCAGTTCTGGTTCCCCGAGACAGGGGCTCCGACTCACGGGGTAGAAATCTTCAAATAAAAATCATCCTTCAGGCTGGGTTCAAGCTCTCTGTAGGGCTGGTCACGTTTTTCTCCTTGTCCTGCTCATCTATAAACAGTGTTTGGGGAAAATACAGATCAAGTAAATAGTGGAGAGCAAGTTGTGTGGATTTTCTTGTTGATACAAGACAAACTTTAAACAGATCTCTGTGCTTTTAATTTTAAATTTCCTTGACTTTACCTCTGGGTAACTGAGAAATTAGGGAATGCATTTTAGCCTAGAATTAACTGCGATTTTCGCTCATTTGGCAGGGCCAGTCGCTTAGCGTTCTCTTCCCTGAAAAGACCACCATTTGTCTTTTTCTTCAAAAGCAGACCTAAGAACCTGACCAATTTGAGATTTTTTTTGTTTGGTTGGTTTTTATTGTATCCACTGCTTTAAAAGCACATACTTGAAAGACCTTGCATTTATTTCAAAAAATAGAAGATATTTCATCATTTCCTCTCAATAATAAAATTTTGATCCTCTCCTTTTTAGATCCTTTGCATATTTTACAGTTAAAGATAGACTGCCCCAGATCCTCACAAGAGTTATTGATACTCTGCATCGACATAAAAATGAATTTTTTGAAGAACATGGTGAGGTAAGAGTAAGGTCTCTTTTTTCCCCCTAACCCTTCAGACCCCTTCTCTGTCTTGTTTTTACTGGTTTCTTACTACAGTCATTACTGGTCTTAATCTTCTTGTCTGTTGTTTTTGGTTTTTTTTTTAATAATCTCTTTCTTCTACCTATTTTTCATTCATTTTGTCACTCACCTTTCTGTCTAGCCTTTTTCTGATCTATCTGTTCTGCAACTGCTTCACTTTCTCAGGTTTTTGTGTTGATGCAGTGTTTAATAGGCTGTAGTATCTTCTGAACATGGCAACGTTTCAATACTCTGTTCCCCTCTGATAAGCAAAAAGTCCAGTCTGAAAAGAAGTCCCATACACAATTAATTCTGGGATGTTGGGTGTAAGATGAGCCTTGTTCACCAAAATGTGTTCGGTTGAATCAAGCTCTGATTTGTCAGGGACTCGTATTTGGCAGTTAAAACTTATCACTTATATCTTTCATGAAAAATTGATCTGTGTCTGTACAGGAATAAATGTTCAGAACAGGAACTTTTGTTCTCCACTTATTTCAGAAGGGTGTTGAAGCAGAGAAGAGAGCTATATCTTTCCTCTCCAAACTGCGGAATGAACTGCAGACAGACAAACCGGTGACCCCATTAGAAGATGAGCTGCCTGATGCTGCCCTGTGGAACCAATACCTAGACTACCAACGAAATTTATCAAATGGAAATGGAGAACCGAGTTGGTTTCAGTCCCCTTGGTTATATGTAGAGTGTTATTTGTATCGAAGAATTCATGCAGCATTAGCACAGAAGTAAGTATTTACTAGCTTGGTATATTACTCTGCAAAACATTATTCTTTCCCATTTTTATTTTAGGAGAAAGGAAGACAGCTGAGGAGTAAGATAAAGGAAAATCTTAAGCTTTTACCATGTTCCTTTTCCCCTGTCTCACACCTCAGATTTAAAATTAATACTTTTTCTTCTTCTGTGCAGCAGAATTTGAAGCTTATTAGGGTTTTTTTATGCTTCAGTTTCTGTGACATTTTCTACATGAAAACTCTTAAGCTTGACTGTATAGCTTGACCTTCTTGCAGACTAATGTGCGCTGAGATAAGAAAGTTATTTAGCGTTTCTAAAAGGTTTGTTAGTCTAGAATTATCTCTTAAGACATATGTTAGCCTAAAACACAGAATGCGAGAGCCACTAATTTGTTGGGCCTTTTTGTTTTGCTGCTTGAAATCTGAAGTTACCATTTGAGAACTGTTCCTTGTAGCAGTAGACCCGGCTTAAGCAGCCCCTGCAGTTCATTCTACACCATCTTCTTAGTTACAGCAGTGTTTGCAGACTATGTATTGCATCGAACTTTGGGAGCTGATCCTGGTTAAAAATAACTTGGCAGGAAAACCTTGTTGTGCTGGTACTGTGGAGAGGTGCCAGCACAATGTAATGGGGTAGGAATGAGCAGTTTTTGTTCCCGCTGCCGCCAAAAAAAATTGACAGCTCCATGCATACTGGATTTGCCCTTAGTAGTACAGAGACGCAAACACAGTAATGGGACTCTGTTTCTACTGGTATATTGCGCAACTTGAACTCTTGTAGCAAAAACTTCAGACGTGAGATGGATCTGCTGGATTGCACTTAAGAAACCGAGCAGATACTTTTCATTAGTAAGCTCTAAGTTTCTTGATCTCCATTATTTAGCTGCTCTTAAGCATATGCTTGGATGGAAGTTCAATCATTTGTCAAAAGGCGTACGTGGAAATATGTCTCATAATAGATCAGTCTATATTTCTTATCTGTTAGAAGAACTGAATTGTTTTGTCATCTTTGTCATGTTAATTTTCTGAAGTCCTAGTTAAAAACTTTCATCAGTATGGGAAGTACACTTCAGCACACATGAACACGCTTAAAATGGGGCCAGCAATTCACTACATTAGTTCACTTGTATGTTACAGTTTTAATTCTCTGTGTCTGAAGACTGGAGTTCAAAATTGTCACTGTATGTGCAGTTCCCAGAATTGTGACTGAACACTTGTTCACTTCCAGAATATATTGCTAGAAACATAAAGGTGTCTTGTATACTGTCTGTTTCAGTGAGATATGATATCAGGCTGTTATTGAGATGTGTGAAAATCTAGTATGACAAATTAGAAGTGGAAAATCTAACTAGGGCCCATAGTACAGCCTAAAAAAGCTGAGCCTCAGGCTTGCATTTCCAGGTGTGTTTCGTGTGTTGTCATGGAAAATGTGGCAAGTATGTTAATATATTTGTTCTCCTTCTATTTTTAGCCCACCTATTGACAACTTTGACGTATTTAAGGAAGGAAAGGCTCAAAATTTCTTTGAATCCCAGGAGGCTGTTATTGCCTTATGCACTTACTTTCAGGAACTTCTTAAAAACATCAAGGATCTAGAAGAAAAGCAACTTCAGGAGGAACTTTTTAAGCTACTGCAGGTAAAGTAGTAGTGCTTAACATAAGAATTTAAAATATCTCTCCTATGTAATAAACAAAAACTCGAGGTTATAAAGAATCTGAACTCCATATGGAAACTAAAATATAGCTCTTCTGTTTGTAAAAATGCGATGAAATCCTGACAGCGATGCTGTACTGCTGCTACTCTGGAAATATTTAAATTTTGGTTGCTAGTATTAAACGTGACATCTTCATTATACTGCTGGTCTTCACTGTGTATTTGAAAATCCAGCTTATTCTCCCTCAAAACCGGTATCTCTAAAATGTTTTAAGTCACGTTCCAGATGGCCTTTTTGTTATTTAACTGTAAAATTTTAAAACAGTTCATTTTATAGACACTCTAAAAATTTTTAGACTTCTTTGGAAAAAACGTTAGAGGTCAGTCTGGGCCAGAAGTGGTTTAAAAGCTTTATAACTGCACTATTCTTGGAAAGTAATGCCTTCAGGTAGAATAGGAAATATCATAGGATTACGAATAAGTCCATTAGTTGGCAACAGGGCACACCAAGTATTTGATGAATCTTTATAAAGGCCTCATTAGCATGTACTTAAAATATAAGTTCTTACTTGGCTGCATGTAATAAAACAATAAACCTGCTTTTATTACTCCTTTTTCTGTGTTCCCAGTGATATTTTCTGGAATTACAGTACAGAGAATATTTATGTTTTAAGCTTTGCAATCAGTGTATTTACACTGATGTAAGTCTTCCATCTTTGTCACTTCTGATGCATGTTTCTAATGCCTGCATAAATACAGAGCACTGTTTGGTTTCTTCCACCAGATCTTGTCTATATTAAGATTTCTGTACAAGAAGTTGAATTTTATTAAAGGTTTGTGGAAAATGTGGAGTTAGAGCCTTCCTGTCCCTAAAATAAAAACAAACAAACAAAATCTTTAGTGTACGTGAAGTTTAGAATGTAGCTACAGTGAGACTTAGCAAATGTTCTTGTTTTTTCCTCCTTCTAGGTGTCATTGTGGGGCAATAAGTGTGACCTTTCTTTTTCAGCTGGTGAAGACAGCTCTCAGAAATCTAGTCCTTTACAGTCCCTGGAAAACATGATACCTTACATCTTAGTGAATGATATGGAAAACCTTTGGTCACTACTTGTAAACAGCAAAAAAAGAAATACAGAAAAAAGTAATGTTAGAGTTGACATAATCCTGGATAATGCCGGATTTGAACTCGTAAGTGATCTTGTGTTGGCTGACTTCCTGTTATCATCAAAGCTAGCTGATGAAGTCCATTTTCATGGAAAAAGTATTCCGTGGTATGTGTCAGATACCACAAAGCATGATTTTAACTGGACTATTAAGCAACTGCAGTCAGCTAATCATATGTGGATGTCTAGATGTGGGATAAACTGGGAGGGCAATTTGAAAAAGGGAGTTTGGGTTTACCGTGATCACATGTTTTGGACTTTGCCACATGATTTTTCCAGTATGGCTGAAGTTGCTCCTGACCTGTATGCTGATCTACAGAAGTCAAACTTGCTTCTTTTCAAAGGTGATCTAAACTATAGAAAGTTAACAGGAGATAGAAAATGGGAATATACTGTTCCGTTTCATCAAGCCTTGAACAAATTTCATCCTGCGCCCCTCTGTAGTTTGAGAACACTGAAATCTGACACTCAGGTTGGCCTAAAACCTGGACAAGGTGAACAAATTCAGGCCTCTGAACCTGAATGGATGGTAAGTGGAAAATACGGGGTAGTTCAGTTTGATGCTGCTCTCTAGTTAAATGGTTCCTAATATTCTGAAAGAGAGATTCAGTCTGAGTTTTAACTGCTTTCTCTGTTCCATGCTTGGCTTCAGCAAAGATTCTTTTTTGTTTGCACTTTTTCCTCCCAAGTGATTTGTTGTTTTTGTTCCACAACAGACTTTAATGTTGTGCAAAAGTTTACAAACTGTCTTTGTATACATAAATCAGTCTGCATTTCAATATATTTTGTTTTCCTGATGTCCAATGTCAACAGATGTTCAAGGTGGACATTTAGTTGTCCATAATATTTTTTTCTTCATCAGTGGGTGTGAGAGTTTATGGCTAACAAGTGAAAAATCTGCTTCAGAAACCATTTCCTCAATCCCACATTAGCGTGTACTTACTTATTTCAGGATAATTTGTGCTCCACATGCCGTGCATGCATTGCATGAGAGTTAATATTTTAGAGAATGCACAAATTAATTCCAGATAGATTCTTTGCAACCAATTGCAGGATCATATTTTAAAACTGTTGAAAATTGAGTTGACTTCTGCCAAGACTTTATTACATAAATGTTTTTTTACTTGCTTCTTGTGGCCATGGACAAATAATTTTTGATGTTTTGAGTATAGTTCGCTGTACATTAAGAGAAGAGTTCTTGGGTGATACCTTGTAAATATGAATTTAGAATTTGAAAATTAAATTTTAATTTTAAAATACAGGTGGTTGTTGCTAGCCAGTTTGCCTGTAGGAGGGGAGTTGTCCCATCTGATAGGAAGATTAGTGGGAGAAAGGACAATTCTCATTTTAAGAATATGGAAGGTATTGTTTATCTAAGAACCTCTACCAAAAGAAAGCACACACAAAAAAAAACCCAAAACAAACAAACCAACCAACCCAACCAGTTACATTAATTGGATTTTAGGTTTAATACAGATTTGAATTAAAGGTGGCCTGTCAGCAGTCTTTGCGGTTCAAGCACTGCTGCCTCTTTCCATGGTGATAATTCTCTTTATTCATCAAATGTATTTGTTTTTTTAAGAAGGATGCCATAATTTTCATGGAGGAAATACAGCCCCAGTTGCACTGAGAAGTATATGCTAGAGAAGCATATGCCATCCAGGTTGCTGCTAATTGGAGTTGTTAGATGTCCATTTCTTCTACCCCGGTCTCAAATGACTCAGAATTTTTTTTGAAAATTTAGGGATATTTTAGTGTTTTTTTCAGAGTGAAGTGAAAGTGGAAATGCATTAGCCATTTATAAAGGAAAAATGAAAAATAGATTCTGTCAAGCCTTAAAGTACTCCTGTGGTTTGAAGTAGGGCCTTTGATAGAGGACTGATGTAATGCCAGTGATAACCACAGGTTCGGTAGAACATGGTGGCCGAATTACCCATAGAGTCTGACTGGGTTACGCTCTTGTCCAGAGCTGCTGAAATGAGGTGAACTTGCCCTGGTAGCCAAGGTGGCTATGTTACAGAGAACAAGAGTAGACAGTAGAGAAACTTCCTTTTCCATTTTACATATGTCTTGCACAGTGAAAAGGAGGGCACAGAAGTGACCTTATTTGAGTACGCTCTGGAAGTGGTGCTATGGCAAGGGAATTGGAATGACTGTGTGGTAGAAAGTGGATTTAGACAGACTTTTGCGCTTACGGTTAACCTCAGACAAGGGTAAGCTTTGGCAGGCCTGAAGAAGTGGGAGGGGGAAGATGGGGCAGTATTTTGTACCTATTTCAGGCTTTGAAAATGAAGCTGGATTCCCCTTCTGGTCAGTGAAATCACTGGCAAAGCATGTCTTCTGAAGTGGAGAGAATCAGCTGCTGCTTATTGTGTTCATACAATAAAGATCTACACAGTGGATAAATATGCTCCAACTGTTGATGACTTTGATTATTTGTGTTTGTCGTCTTCGTACATCTGAAAGTGTATTAATAAAGTTGCAAGGTCAAGTATTCAAAAACTAAGGTGCTAGGAATTTCAGGAGGCAACGTGATATTGTAGGTAGGGTTCTACTTTTGAGACCTGGGTTTAGTGTTCTCATCTCCTTTGTATCTCTGGCTTAGTACTTCTAAAGGATGAATTCATGCTCATCCTTAGGCACCTGATTAAACTGCATAAATTAGAAATCCAGTCAAGAGAGCTGAAGGTCAGGCTGCTGAAGGTCTCTGACTGGAGAGAGCTCTGGGGGACTTCACCTTTGGTGCTTTGATCAAATACATAAACGACATGATGAATCTGGGCACTGGCGCCTCCGTTTCTCATCTGTGAAAATGCCGTTAACTTGTTTCAGATGCACTCTGAAGCAACAATTTTGGGTCAAGAACAGAGGGATGGAAGTTGTGGAATATGTGCCATGAAAACTTCCCGCCTTGTTCAGAGAGAGAAAACGATCAGGGGAAGAAATCTGCTTTGCCTGTGGACAGATTGTTTGTAAGGTGCTGACTTAATTTGCTGGAGAGGTTTAGAAGTGCGTAATGGACAAGAAGAGAAAGGATTGTTTCACTGTTGAGGCCATCCTTGAGGAACAGATTTGCCTCTTACACAATCCTTACACATGCTGAGAAACTTGGTTTCATTTTTCACTTGTTGTTAATCTGTCTCTCTGTGCCCAGGTTGCTTTCAAGCTGTTACTTCTGGGAACTCACAGTGCAGATCAGTGAAAATTAATATTCTGAAGTTATGATAAATAGAATCCTACAAAATGCCAAATCACTTAGGAGATGTGGCAGTATTCGCTCAGTATTACTGAATCATCTCATTGGAGATTGTTGCATTAATGTTTGTGAGGAAGTACAGTGGTGATTTCATGAGTACCATAAGACATGTAATTCTTAGATTAGCATTTGAATGCTAAGGTAAGAAATGATGTCACGCTGGAAAAAAAAAAAAAAAACAGAGGAAATAAATTAAATTAGTTCTATTCTCCAGTTTATTAAGTGAGCACTTTTCATCTTTTGACCCTCACAAAAAGAAGTTTATATGGTAATGTACAGTGTGACTGCATAGTTATGTGAGGAATGCACAGCCGTAACTTCCAAATGCTTAATTGCTTGACTTCTATAGCTGTAATTGCAAAGTGCTATCCATAGACAGAACTGAATACGCAGCATACTTTTCTGTTTGTTGGCTGGCTATATTTTTGTAAAGTTTGGATCGATTCTATGAAAAAAAAAAATGGTGCTGTAATGCTGGTGTTATATTCTCCCACACCACAATGAAGGAGTAAAGACAGACATTCCGGTGAGGCGCTGTGCTCTGCTGTTGGGTTACCTACAGTATAGTGGAAAGTAGGAAATGTTTTTGTAGATACTCAGTGTTAATTACTTGTGTAATGTAGCATCATGAAATGAGAGCATGTGCCCACTGCATTTAGGTGGAATTTACTGTTACACAACATAAAGCATATGTTATAATAATAGCATATGCTCTAGTATAGCATAATTTTTTTTTCTTGAGCATTCAAGAAAGTTGCTTCTGTACATCTGTGTTACAACTCATTGCCCAAAATGTTTGTACAGCATAACTCAGGAGCTACTCATTTGTATACCCAAATTCTTGAGATTTTCATTTCATGTGCCATTTGAATATTTATAGCAAAAACAAGGGCATTTTCAGTAATTCTGAGGACCACAACAGACCAACGTCTTTTGACTTCTATTTTTTTATTCTACCTTTTGAGCAACTGTAGTTGTAAATCAGTTTTTGATAGCAATGATTTTCATTTGTGATGAAACAGGAGGAAAAATAATGTCACAGGCACAGTGAAAGCCAGTACACACATCTGTCTGAATACTTGATAATTCATTAGATAAGGTATATACAATAATGCCGTGTGTTTATAAGGCTTCTTAAAATAAATTGATGTGGAAAGTAAGTTGATTGTATGACTGGAAACTGTTGCAAGAATATTGAAATAAATGATATAATTTTGTGCAAAAGTCAAACATCATTATACTACTACAGTGGCTGGGAAAGCCAATTTAAAATAATTCAGGTCTTAGTTCCTGAAGTTTTTGTCTCTGAAACAGATTTTATACAAAAACTCGTAAAGAATATTTATCCAATGAGGTTTTGAAAGATATAGAGGCAAGAGATGGGTATCATAAAATGTTCCTCTTCATCAAGACAGGGCAGTATTAGGGAAGTTTCTACCTTGTTACTCTACCAATATTCTTGTTCAAATTTCAAAACCTTAAAAAGCATTGAGAATCTCTGAAAATGTATCTGGTAATTACTTATTAAGGTTGATGCAGCTGATGGTGTCATTATCACGATCACTTCCCAAACTGATGGGTGCTCCATGTGTTGTCAGCAAAAATGGGAGTATTTTAGTGTTACACTTGCTGTAACTAAAATATTTCCAAATAACTTTGTTTTACACACCTTACTGATGTCCCATAAACCCTAACTATTGTTGTTGAAATAGTTCCTTTAAAGTTCATAGTGTATTTGCGTTCATGGTTGAACTACTTAACCACTTGTTCCATGTGAAGCATATTTATCTCCTGTACTCTGTCAGACAGGATAGGAAAAATGTTCACTCTATTGCACGAAAATTACCGCATGAAATGTTTTTAATCTAAAAAAACCTAAATCACGTCTAAAATACAAATTCCAAAATGGAATTTTGTACAGAACTGTTAGTTTTTTTCATTAAACAGTTTGTTTGCTTACAAGCCTTCTGTTTGCCCGTAATTACAGAACAAAAGTTTGGGATGATTTTTATTTAAAGCAAAAGTGTAAGTTCAAAGTCACCTAAGATTTACCTAAGGATTTTAAAATAAAACTGTGAAAATGTGCTGGTTAAAATGGTCCTTTTCTTTCTTTCCAATATAGCAGTGGCAGAAAGCATGTGGGAAAAAAATTCCTATACCATGGACTGTTTATGTTCTCGTTTGATTGTGGGTTTTTTTTTTCCTAAAACAGGTTTTCAGAACTTCTGTGGATTTTTTTTCTAGCTGATACAGATATATTTCTATTTCTGTCAGCTCTGGAAATAAAAAGGCCACTTAAATAAATTTATATAGATAAATTAATCCACATTCTGTCTCAGCGTTACAGTTGTGAATTCTGCAGATGTATTGTGAGAAGGGTTTTTATTTACACTTCTTTTTGAGGTTTGGCTCATTTGGCTTTGTTTTCACTGGGAAAGAAATATAAAACGTCATATTGTGATCATAGACAATGAATAAACATATTCAGGACTTGTATGCTGCTTTTG